GGCGAAATCCCATAACTGGGTTTTCTGGTGAATGATGGAGCTCCGGTCGTTGAGTTTCATTTTCCAGACGTTTCCTTCCTGCGCACATTTGAAATTACGGAAAATTATGACGTTGGAGTGGACAGTTAATACGATGGTAAGTAGAAAGATCAAACTACATGAGAATTATGCTTATCAGTAGTGAGACATAATTAATTATCATGTATAAGCGTTAACAGGTAACATTTACACTCGAGAGGATTTCGCGTGATATTTTCCCCCTCGTAGCTTCACTGTTGAGATGAGAATATGCATGCGCAGCTAGTATTATAGTACTAGAAACGGGTAGCTTTCACAGATAACAGTTTCTGCGTGAGAGGCGTCAGTGTACATGGAGCGTATTTTTTGCTAAATAATAACTAAATAATAATTTTGTAATAACTTGTTAACAGAAATATGAAACAGTAATATAAGTGTTCTTTGCCAATGGGAAGTGTAAGCGTCGATTACAGCCGTTGTATCCATGCATCGCTACTGATGCTTATCATCAGGTGCCTTGCCGACTGGATTTGGTGAGCATGCCTCTTCACAGTCTGCGATCTCCTGCAGCATGTATCAGTTCGTGTGCTGACACACCTCTATGACATGCAACAAGACTGTCAAGAATCTGCTCTCGTTGTCTTCCTCTATCCCTCCTTCCACAGATCTTTCCAGTGGTCACAACATGTTCCATTATCCCTCTTCTCACAACCCAAAAAAATGATGATTGTCTTTTTCTGATGTCTGGGATAAGTTGTCTTTTGGACTGATGCTTATGCAAATTAAATACAACAGTGAGAAGATAGGTCAAATTATGCAAATGTAAATGCTGACATACAATCGTCGTCTTCTACGTTTGACCATAAAAGGGCTGTTGGGTCCTTGATTGTGGTTTACTCAAGGCTGCGAAATTTGCGCCGTTCGGACCAAAACATCCCATGTCAGTGAAACAGAACCTGAACTGCTTGTTTGTGGTGCCCTATCCCGAGGCCTTGAAGGATGACCTGTCCATGCCGGTCAAGTAAGTGGTAGTCATCTCTGGCCAGATTCTGTTCATTTCTGATAGACATGTACAACCTCACAGCATTTATAACTTGACGACTTAACAGCACAGTAATCAAAAGAATGGTACTCCTGTCAAATCCGGACGAAGAATAAAAAGCCTTGGACGACTTAGTCAGAGTTCTCTCCCTTGGCCGCACTGCAAATAGTGATCGGAAAAGCCAACGAAACAAACGACACAACAACATGGCAGTTAGACGCACTCACATAACTAACATCGTTCTTGCGACCAACTTCGTCGACACCGTACACAGTCACATACACACACAAACAATTGAGGGCCTCTGGATGCTGGTCAAACGCACAATTCGCAAACGATTGGGCACCAGCCGCACACTATTGGCGTCATATTTAGCAGAATTTCAGTGGCGCCACGCCCACAAACATCAGATTGTCGGCCAGTATTTCGAAACCCTACGTCAAAATTTTCACATCTAACCCTAACCCTAACCCTAACCTACCCCTAACCCTAACCCTACCCCTAACGCTAACCTTACCCCTAACCCTAACCCTAACCCTAACCCTACCCCTACCCCTAACCCTACCCCTAACCCCAACCCTACCCCTAACTCTAACCCAACAACCGCATGATGACTACACAACCATTCACGATGCCTCACGCAACCGTACGCAACCCTGCACGCAAACATATGATGACCACGCATCCCTTCACGATGCCTCACGCAACCGTACGCAGACCTACACGCAACCGTATGATGATAGGTAAGTGTGTCGTTTGTTTCGTTGGCTTTTCCGATCACTGTTTGCAGTGCGGCCAAGAGAGAGAACTCTGACTAAGTCGTCCAAGGCTTTTTATTCTTCGTCCGGATTTGACAGGAGAGCCAAAAGAATTGACGGTGAAGAGCTGGAGACAGTTGACCATTTTACATATCTGGGATCCACAGTGAATAACTGTATCGTTGAACCAAGAAATCAACATCAGGACTGGTAAGGCGGCAACAGCCATGAGCAGATTAACAAACACAGTTTGGGAGAACGGAAAGTTCGCGAAAAAAAAAAAAAAAACTTTATCAGGCTTGTGTTCACAGCTGTCTTCTTTGCGGTAGTGAAACTTGACCAACTTATTCGCCGCAGGAAAAATGGTTGAACAGCTTTCACATGCGAAATCTAAGAAGAATATTTGGCACTAAGTGTTCTCCGTGCTCAGTTTTCGAACGCTCAGGTGGCTGGGTCATATCTGAAGAAGGGAAGTCCATAAGAATATCGTCTATGGTGAATTGCACATGTGTAGAAGATGTCGAGGCCGACCTCAGCTACGATATAAAGATTTGTGCATGTGGGACATGAATGATACTGGTATTGTGGTCGATTCGTGGGAACAAAATGTCACGGATAGTGTTGCCTGGTGGGGTGGCAAATCAGTAGGTGGATAATAACAGAGGAAAAGAATTATTGCAGAAAGGGTGAGAGCTCAGTGTCTGAGAAAAAGCAGACTAAAAGCAAATGATGATAACAGTTGTCCTGAAATCCAATACTCTAACTGTGGAAGACGTTTTCTTAACGCGGGCGGGTCTTGCTAACCGCAGTCGCCATTGTCATGGGTTTTTAATCCCATGCCTCCTTATATCAAAATATTATCTTCTTCTTCTTCTTTGCGATCAAGGGGGCTGCGTGGTCTCGAGGCATGGTGTCCACCTCCAGTGCTAGAGGTTCCGGGTTTAATACCCATTAAGGCCTAGGATTTTTTCACGTGGACTTGGACTTCTAGTCTAGTCTCTAGGTAGTGAGATCGGTCGCCCGTGTGCATTGTGCCACGTAAACAATCCCTTGGCAGTTGGAAATCGAAAAAAGTAGCCTCAAGGCGCAGCCTGGGCAAAAATGTGGAGTTAAAAATTTACCTAAAGTATTTCAGAGTCCTCGCCGGTGCTATAGAGCCTGTGTACTGTGCTGAGCTTCTTCGGACTCAGACTTGAGTTAGAAGAAGAACGGAGCATTTATCAGTTACTACTCGTGTGCCATGATGTTGATTCGTTGTTCGAAACCTCAAACCTTAAACACCTTCTTTGCAATCAGTTTCGTATGTTCAGGTCAGATCATCAGGTGTGTTGCCTCTATGAATGGCATGTCAGCTGCAGGTCCTGCATTGTTCCCCATAGCTTGCCCATAGCGCAATATAACACTGTGTCTGGAAAGATTGAGGTGTGCCTGCAAAATCAACAGAATCGCTTACCTGGGTTATTAGATAAATTTTGCCTGCAGAAATGATGGTCCGAGGTAGGCATGTCTCCAGGGGCATCTCGCCAAGTAGATACGAGCTCTTTGTGGTTGTATTAAAGCATTGCACTGTGCGAGACGTGATCGTGTCGCTCTCTTTCCCACCACAGATTATTATTTTGTTCCCTGTCAGAAGGAAGCAACATAAAAGAACGGTTCTTTATTATTATGCTACCCCATATGACCTCACAGAACAGTCCAACATTTCAGAGGGGGGTAAGACTGGGTTTCCCGGCTTTCCGATGCATTTAACGATCCCAAAACATCTAGAACTGGCCCTAGCCCTAACCCACCTACGTCCCACGAGAGAGTGCACTCTGGGTCCCACGACTGCATGCAGCCTAGGTTCCACTACTGCATGCATCCCCTGAAATATTAGACTGTCTCGTGACATATGGATTTTCCATGTTTTGGTTAGCTATTAAAAAAGCACACACAAAAACTTAACAGATAAAATCATAAACTATTGTAAATTTTGTTTACCACATCTCTGTTCTTTTTCTTCTTACTCTTCTGCATTCTTCTTCTTTATTTCTTTGTGCCATTCGTCATCCCCACCTGAGACGCAATTTTTTTTCAGCCCCACCCTGGCTTTTCCCGGGGGCCCTAATATAACCTAACGGTTGAAGCGGGTTTCTGGGACCTCTCCACGGGTGATCCTCATCCGCATGGTGGCACTTTGTGTCACCGGGTGATTATCGCTCTGTGTGATGTCTCAGTAGGGTAAAACTTACTTACTTCTTTCTTTCTCTCTTTCTTTCTTCTGCTGCTACTACTTCTTCTTCTTGTTCTTCTTATTATTGCAGGAGCTACTACTACTTGTTGTTGTTGTTCTTCTTCTTCTTAGTTTTTCTGCATCTTCTCTTCTTCTTCATCCTCTTCCTCCTCCTTCTTCTTTTTCTTCTTCTTCTTCTTCTACTTTATCTTCTTCTTATTATTATTATGATCACAACCTTGTTAGACACCGATAGACAAGTTCTTATGATAAAACTGACCCTTACTTTTAGACCGTCTTTAGTTCCATACATGATGTTGACTCATTGCTGGGTATTCTCTTTTTAATGGGCTGTACAAGAGACAGTCTTGCAGGGCGTTTTGGCTGTGTTTATGCACGCACCGCATGGGCATAGGGGTGAACCACACAAATGCTTCAGTCACTATTCGGTTGTTTGAGAAGAACGAACCGATCACCTTGGTCTAGAAAATAATAAATCAGACGGCAGTGACAAGAGGATATGGTAGAGCATCTGTTGTCACATGAAAGGTAAAATTGACGTTAAATCAGACCACAACTGGCACTTTTGTTATCGGAATTATGTGCTGAAAATGGTGACGGTACATATTCACATGAACTTGGGACTGAGGTGACTTCGCTTAAAAAGGAGTTTCGTTGTCTGGTATTTGTAGACTGGAAGAAAGAATAGTTTTATAAGAGGGTGATTCGCCCGGCTCTCTAGCGAAATTGGCTAAACCGGATTTCGCAGAGACCGGGTGACGTACTCCTTGTGGTCCGGGTTCAATCCCGGGGGTAGGCAGGAAAGCCACATTTTCTCCCAGATTGACGGTATTTACAATGGAATCAAGGCCGAAAGGTTGCGATATCCATAATACCGAGCCTAAGGGTTAACAACTCATGGCTTCTGGATACTAAAACAAACAAACAAGAGGGTGATTCAAAAACATACCAATGACGGCTGATCCACTAGACCGGACAGCTTTATGGAGGAAGCCAACATCTGTCCACACAGCCTTGTCTATGTCGTAGCATTCTACGCTGTTGAGTGTTGTCACCTGGGAAAGGGGAGTAAACGGCACATTGAAAGATGTGCAAATAGCGCACATAGAACAAAACAAACAAAAAAAGCATTGTGTTGTGGTTGTGGCGTTGCTAGCTTGTGAAACATTGTTAACTTGCTTACGGGAAAGTGTGAGAAATATTTTGCGAACCGGCTAAGGCGAGCTAATGCAAATACACAGTTGAGTCCACTTAATTCGAACTCGGATGTGTTGAATTTCGGTTAAGTTGATATGACCACCTTAGTCCCGGCAATTTTCTTTATTGTGTGTTGTCTGGATAAGTAGAAATCCTGATAAGTGGAAGCATTTTCTTAGGTCCCTGCAACTTCTACTTATCCAGACTCGACTGCTGGTGTTCGGCGCCCACGCACTTCGTCTGTACTTCCAGCGCTACATTGTTGCGTGGAACATCTCAACCCAGCCGCAGCACTTTAGCACCTCAATCGTACAACAGCTACACGACAGGGAGCTAATTTTAAGTGGACCACTGGGACATTTCTGCAGGCCAGCATATCAGTTTATATATATTTTAACATATATATATAGATATATATATATACACACACACACACACACACACACATATATATATATATATATATATATATATATATATATATATATATATATATATATATATATATATATATATATATATATACATAAATTGATAATTTTGTTGCCGGGGCTGTTTAAAGGTCAGCTGAATAAATACGTTTTTGGAGATATTAAACACAAGAAGACAATGGTTAGCCCATTGCTCTCCTTATACGTGGGACAGAATCAAACATCCACTAACCTCGTTGTTGAGTCCTCCCAGGACATACAAACAGTGGCCAACAGCGACGTTGACATGGTTCCTTCTTCCCACATTCATTGGAGACAACTTGAGCCAGGAGTTTTTGTGCGTTTCAAACTGTAGACAGAACAGTAGTTGTGCGTTTTAGACTGCAGATAGAACAGTAATTGTGCATTTCAGACTGCAGACAGAACAGTAATTGTGCATGTCAGACTGCAGACAGAACAGTAATTGTGCATGTTAGACCGCGGATAGAACAGTAATTGTGCGTTTCAGACTGTGGACCGAACAGTAATTGTGCGTTTCAGACTGCAGTGTTTTTGTTTTAGAAAAAAAAGTGTTCATGGTTTTAGACAGTAATACGAGAGTCGCACAGTTGAAGAGATTAGGAGTTTTCTAGCTGATATTTACTTCAATCGGTCACACACGTGTCAGAGATTTAACTCACCAGACATATGTATGATTTCGCTTGAAGATACTTCGGTTAAGTAATGTTGTGTATTCTTATTCGTATTTGTTGTACAGTATTGTATATTCATGTAATGTGATGAACAGACTGGGACCACGGCATACTTTTACTAAGTCGATCCTCTTCTACCGTGCTGTATAGAAGTGTGTTAGAGAGATCGCCAGACCTCTCTGTCTGCAGTTTTTCTTGTTGGCTTTGTTCCATTCCTGTCCTCTGTCAGTCACAGACTGTGAGGGTGTTGTCTTCTGAGCGAACCCTGGGTCGTCATGGTGGTCAGGTTCTTACCCTCCCATGCCTGCCATAGTAGCCGATTTTCTCCCATCCTGCACACATGTCAGAACCATCATAACTATGACTGATTCACTCGAATTTGTCAGGCTTGGGTTTCAAGATCCTGACGTAGTGTCTGATTGCGAACTTTGTCCCTTTTTGTCACTTGGACATCCTTTCTCGATATCTAAGTGCTGAGGCCTGAAGCTGGCTTCTGTGAGCTGTTGTCATTGCCCATGACTCGTATCCGTCGGTCAGGGCTGGTACATGGGTGGAGCGGTAAACAGCCATTTTCGCCCTCTTGCCAGTTTCGCTTTTGCTAAGAAACCCCCGTATGTGGCCTGGAAAAGTCTCCCAGCAACTATTCAGTCACGAAAGTGACGCAAATTACCCAGACCACAAATATAGGCGGAGACTGCTAGCAGCCTAGGGTAGCTAGCAGCAGTCTGAACGTGGTCGAGCTTTTTTTTTTTTTTTTTTCAAAAGGACTTGAACTAGCACTCCCAGCAACTGCTTTTCGAGTAGCCAGCTCGGTCTTAATGCCTAAATTGCGGTCTATTACAACTCCAAGGTATTTGAACTAGTTCACCTTCTCCATTGTTTACTGTCTCCCCATGATCTGGTGTTTCTTCTCTTCTCTTGAGATCACCATGGCTTTAGTTCTGGAGATACTGATGGTCATACCTATCTTTTCAAGCTCTTCCTTCGAGACAAGTAAGTTGGCTTGAAGAAATGCCTCTGATTTAGCTATCAGGGCCACATCGTCTGCCAGTAGGACCACCAGTTAATAGTCCAAAAGACAGCGATGGGTAGACTATAACAAATCTTCATTGTGGAAACAGGAAACTCTAAATCTTTAAATACATACAAAAATCCCATACCTGGTACAAGGCTGTCATTGTGTTTTTACCGCCCGCCACGAAAATGTCGTCTGCATAAGAACAAGCAGAACTTCCGAGTCCCATGTCTTCAGGAATGGGAGGTAACTGAAACCATTCATCGGTTTTAAACCTGTACAAGGAGACACATGGAAACATAGTCAAATACATAAGTTCTGGGGGACGCACTGGAATATACGTGGCTTCATAAGCTTCTCACCCTGGTCGTGAAGATAGTCGGTTAATTTGCTACCGCAGCGACAATAAAACACTAAATCTCACAATACCGGTTGCAAAGTCACCATATTGTCTTGTCCTGTCCGAGTGTCCATTGAAGTGCAGCAGGGAAAGATCGTGACCAGGAATCATGAACTAGGTCGGCCCACCTTCCGAGATTGTATAGGAAGTGACTGCCGAAACAGTCGTCGACGAGGGATCTCTCTACTGATGAATAGTGGACCCCTGCTTTTTACGCTCCCTTTTGGAGTTCTTATCACTTCGTAACCGCTTTATGTGGCCCCAAGGTGCAATATAATTATACGGTTCATAAAGAGAAAACCAGGGCTTTTGACCTGAACCGCTATAGAAAGATTCTCAGAATATCCACGGACAAAGAAAAAAAGAAATACTGACATCACAAACTATCTCAACTTCAAGGAAGATTGGCTGGTAAACAGTATCTTGTCTCAGAAACTGAAATATTTGGGCTATGTCAAGTGCTACGACTGATTGGGTGGGGGGGGGGGGGGATATAAATATACATTGCGAGTCCAATTGCTGATTTGTTGTAACTGCAACTACCGTCGACGATGAACTGGAGTTCCATTAGAGGGTCAAGTGCGCTAACACTTCTGATACCAGCTTATGCAGTAATTCATGCGTGTGCTATTGACTATGTGATGCCTACAGTCTGAGTTCCAGGGCGCCCTTTGGTGGGAGCTGAGGGGGGGGGGGAGAGTGTAGAGCCACTAACCCGTAAAAGCCGACTAATTAGAGATCTTTCCTCCAAAGTTGGAGAGCCTCTGCCTGAGAGGCGAGGAACCGACAACCTGCATACAAATAAACGGGATCTGGAAAACGGAAGCTATGCAGGCAAAACTCAAGTTCTGGAACAAGAGTAAAATGTCCAGTAGTGGACGAACAACCCAAACTTTCTCCTGGAATTTACTACCGGTGAACGCGAAAAAAGAAGAGAAGAAGCTGGCACAGGGCCGGAGCAGCAATGGAGTAATCCGTTTGTCGGCAGGTCAAACTTCAGTTAATTCATCAACTTCTTCTTCTTCTATATTCTCCAGCTGTAAGCTCTGGCGGAAATTCCGGGTTGTTCGTCCATTTGGACTTTGGCTTTGTGCCAGGGTCTGAGTTTTGTGTGTACATCCGTTTTACTGGCATATTTGCGTGCAGTTGGTTTTACCTTGCCGCTCAGGCAGATGCATTCCGACTTTAAAGAAAAATCCCCAGTTAGTCGACTCCTACAACATGCTTGTTGGGGAGGCAGGACTGATGAGCTGAATTACTAATTAACAACCTACCTGTAAGCATAGAAATTATCTTTCCCCTCGCCTAGCACAAGCATCACGTTGTCGCAGGCACTAGCCCGGCGATACATGGCGGTGGGTGAGCACTCATCATGCCGGCGGGCTAGGATGATGTGATATTCTAGACTACGTCGAACCATCTCCAGAACCTGAGAGAGAAAAAATCATATTTTGGTAATATATTTTAGAGTTTAGACTGCGTCAAACCATCATCAGAACTGATGAAAAACATCATATCTTGGTGATATTTTAGAGTTTAGGCTTCGCAAACCATTATTAGAACCAGCGAAAAAGATCATATGTTAGTGATCTTTTAGAGTTTAGGCTGCGTCAGCCCATAACCAGAACCGGTGAAAAACATCCTTATTAGTCGATACTCTAAACCAGTGGTACTCAACCTGTGGTCGCGACCCTTTTTTGATCAAACCACCCTTTCACAGGGGTCGCCAAAGACCGTCGCAAAGAAGTGAAGTAGCAACGAAAATATTGGTATGGTTTGGGGGTCGCCACAATATGAAGAATTGTATTAAAGAGTCGCGGCATTAGAAAGGTTGAGAGCCACTAGTCTGGACCAATGGTCTTCGCTCCTTTTACCGGTGGTGCCCTCTTGGGTACATTAGCAAGAACCCCCCCCCCCCTTTTTTTCCCCCGCCTGTACTACTTTCCGTCCTTTTTAGGATGAAATTTTTAGGTATTTGAAGCCCTTCTCTGGCTCTTGCCAGGGGCCGCAATATAGCTTGGCCATAAATATGGCCTAAAGGCTGAACGCGGTTTCTGGGACCTCTCCACGGTGATCCTCACCCGCATGGTGGCACATTGTGTCATCGGGTGTTTAACGCTTGCGTGATGTCCTGGTGGGGTAGAAAGTCAGTCAGTCAGACCCCCTCCGCCAACATAACAAAATGTAATTAACAAGAGGAGGGCAGACTGTGATTACAAAGAGAACTAAAAAGAAAATAGGAAGGACCTATATTTTTATAGACCAATCGGCACAAGATGGGTGATGTTGTTAGCATGACGCCGGTTGTCTTTACTTCCCGGGACTGCACCCGGTACTGACTCAAGGCTGGGTCTAACTGGGAGTCAAGGTCATTTTGTTTTTAAAGTCCGGCTCCGCCAGGGAGCGAACCCACGACCTTCCGATCCGCACGCGAGCGTCTAGCCGCTACGATAATTCAAAGTATTAAATAACAAAAAAGAAACGATCACCATCGACTCATAATTTAATGTTCAAATATCAATGAGATGATTCATATAGCGCATAATAAAGCGAAGCGGCGTCCGTGGCTTAGGCATTGCGAGTCTGACTTGTAATCCAACGTGCCGCGATCGAAACCCACTGCGGGCTGCGTGGATTTTTATCACAGTATAGGACGTCGCAGGTCGACCCAGCCTTAAATGGGTACCAGGATGTGCTGTCCTGGGGAAAGTAAAGACGGCCGGCGTAATGCTGACCACATTACCCACCGAGTGCTGATTGGTCTGTACAAATATGGGTGCGCCTAAAGGCGTGTAAAGGGATCTTTACTTTACTTTACTTTACTATAATAAAGCGAAACAAGAACTAGATGTTTACATTAAAAAAAATTTTTAACAAGGACATGATCCTTAATTTGCAAGCCTCTATACAGATGGGTCCGCAGAAAGTGCAGTTACAAATGGTGGTGCTGGAGTGTACATAGAATTTCCAGATGGTACTAGGGATAAGTCCAGCTTACCAACCGGAAAGTACTGTCATAACTATGATGCAGAAACTCAGGCTATCAAGATAGAAACAGAGAAACTGCTGAATACCACTCTTGGCAAACAGTATGTGGTAATGCTGACAGATTCAAAATCAGTACTTGAAGCACTCCAGTCTAGGAAACTACGAGAATTGCAAACACTGCTGACACAACTCAGCCTTCAGCGAAGAGTTGTAATGCAGTGGATACCATCACATTGTGGAGTGCCTGGAAATGAGAAAGCTGATCAGGAGAAGGTGCGACAAAAGTGCAGCCGGATGTACCAGTCACATACCACCAAAAGAAAAGAATCATTAAATCAATCAGAAAACCACCAGCCCCAGCACAAGACGACTATTTTATTATGGACAGATCAGAACAAGTCATTATCCTCCGCCTCAGAACACGGCACAACCGATTACGTAACCACATGTACATAAAATTCAAGATAGGCGTATCAGCCATGTGCACCTGTGGAAAGGTGCTCAAGACAGCAGAGCATGTACTCCAGGACTGCACCGAATTTGACACATTAGGGCAAACCTTTTGGTCAGAAAGAACAACAGTGGAACGTAAACTCTACACTGAATGAACTAACAACGACAGTGAAATTTATACAAGAGACAAAATTGCTGATATAGACAACTTTTTTTCAGGCGAACGAAAGAAGAAGAAGTTGCAAGCCAAATTTTGACAACGGATACTGAGTTACAGATTTTCAAAGTTGGATAAGACTTTCTGAACGGAATACAATGCTGTTTAACGGGATTTCAGGGGTTTCATCCGGTTAAATTCACATTCAATCGGCCACCATGGGAGGCCAAGAGCTAGTGAACCAGACCACGAACTACCGACGGTCCCGACCACGGCGACCCAGGGTTCTCTGGGAACACAACATCCGACAGTCCCTGACTAAGAGAGGACTGGAATGGCACGCATCCCCACACACACACCCACATGCACGCACGCCCACACACACACACACACACGCGCGCGCGCGCGCACACACTGCAGATAGAGAAGTATGTCGATCTCTCTGGCAAACTTCTGCACCCCAGGGTAGAAAAAGATCGACTAAGTAAGTCAGTAAGTTCGCATTCAAATGTCACTGGGTGGCATTCTCTCAGGCTGTATCTCTAAACAGTAGGGTTGGGGGTGGGAAGGGGGTTTAATGCTATATTTTATGTTTTATAATAGCAGCATCCGTGGCTTAGGTGTTGCGAGTTCGACTCGTAACTCCAACGTACCGCGACCAAAAACCACTGCTGGCTGCGTGGATTTTTATCATGGTATGGGGCGTCGCAGGTCGACCCAGCTTAAAATGGGTATCAGGATGGTTGTCCTGGGGAAGGAAAGACGGCTGGCGTAATGCTGACGACATTAATCACCTAGTGCTGATTGGTGGATAAAAATATGGGATGCCTAAAGGCGTGAGAAGGGATATTTACTGTACTACTTTTGTGTGTATGTGTTTTATAATATGGCGCTTTAATAATTGCATTATGCGCCTGGCATCATCAATGACTTTATGCTTGTCAATTTCACAGTAGACAAAAGTTACTAAAGACAAGACATGTGGACCCACCTCCTGGTTCTCCAGCACCATCTGATCCGTGAGAAGGCGTCGGAGGATGAAGTCTTCAGAAACCAAGTTCAGCCTGGAGAGAGAGAACAGTTTAGCCAGATGTCTGCGTCTCCCTTCCTCGTGTCCGACCCAGAGCAAGATAGCGTCAACAACCTAAGGAGGAACCATATGTGAGTACATGAGAGAAAGACATCGGGGAGTCATGATCAATATGGGGCCCATCCCCCTTCCCACACCTGAGAGTATTCTTCTACCTCTTTTTCTGACCTTCAGTTCCAATACAGCG